TTAGGCATAAATTGTTATTCCCGTGAATCCAGAAATCGTAATTTAATATCGTGGAAGGAAAAAGATACAACAAGAAATAAAGCACATCATATTTTCGTTTCATCAAGCAAAGAAAAAAAAAACAAGAAAAAACGAATTAATAATAATTCTGCTACAGTGCATAACGTGCTTTGATTCATTTATTACGAAAGATGAGTCGGATATCATTTTTTTTATATTTAAAAAAAAACCTCTACGCTCCTGTGATTGAGACATCAAACAATTTGTGTTCATTTCCACATAAATGCATTAAAGCATTGGAGCTTTTTTTTCGTATCTTCATGAAGTGATTATTTCATCTGGACGTTTCAATTGTTTGGTCGCTAATAAATTGTCATCACATGTCGGGTGCATTTCGTGCAAATGAAATGAGAGACATCATATCGAGGCGCAACGAAAAATTACACTCGTTGCCTTCAGGCATCGCGCGAACCCAAATGAACTCGATGAAAATAAAACGCGCTGTGCCAAATCGAAGCAATTTATTACATGCGCGAGGATTGCTAATGCGGACATGTTGACGCAAACCGAAAACGGCAAAGGTAAAAAAGAGCTTCCCTACCTAACGAAAATCGAAAACATAAAACGCTGAAAGCGAAAAAGAAAATAACGATTGGTAAATTTTGAACTGCCGTGCTTAGGGAGCGACATCGCGTTTGATAGATGTTTTTATTACCTGCGAGGAAAAGAGTCAAATTACGCCGACGATAACGAAGCGCGCACAGGCATTTTTCGTTCCACTGCCAATACTGATATTTTGATATAAAGCCGGTCTATATCTTTAACGTAATAATTTTCACGTCATTAATGTACATTTTTAATACATTTGTAAAGTACAAAAGCACAAGGCATGAATAACTGTCGACACTGCATAGATTAGAAAATAGTCCAGCAATCAACACCCAACAAATTTTCTGATTTCCTGCACACATTCTATTACTTCCAAAACATTTTTTGATTACCAGAATTCAAGAACTTCGAATAGTGTAGTTATAGTACTTCCACAATACTCGTATACACAAATACGAATTAGGAACGAAGCGAGAAAGAATAATGCATGGGCTATTGTTAAATTCTTTTCAATTTCCTTGTACACAATGGCGCACGCAATTAATATTTTATTTTATTTCGTTACGGCTTGGTTTGTCGGTGATGCCCTTTGCAGGGCTAGTAGTGGAATAGCTGAGCACACACATTCGACAGCGGGTCATGCAAATATCACATTAGTCAGACTATTGGTTCTTAGGCGCGCGCATTTATTACCTTCGGGAGTCGAGGGTGGTAATAATAATCTTCCGTTCTCCCGTGCACTCGATCATACGCGGCCCATTCGCTCGCGGCGCCCCGTTAAGGTCACAGTGAAATTGAAGACAAGCACGAGTAGGAAGAAAATGTCATATGGAAGGCAATGGCAGAGAATAAAATGCAGAATAAAGAAAGGCCTCAATATAAAGCGCAAATAAAAATAAACATGAAGGATGAAAACAAAATTGTGTTACGTACACCCGCGCAGGTAATCGAATTGAATAAAAAACACACGCGTGAGTGGCGGAATAAGTGCAAAGGTGTTAAAATAATTATATAAAAAAAAAACGAAATGAAATGATGTTCGCTTTTCATCGAATCATGATGAGTTTTTGCTTCTTTTTTACTCCTACGTTTTATTTACTTTAATAGAAAACATGAAAAGAGAATAATGACGTGGAAAAATAGTCAAAAATTTAACATTGCGGCAAAGCGTAGGTGAAATAAAAGTAACAGATGTAATTATAATAAAATTAAATTTCTGAATTCGTGCGGATCACAATTGATTACGTTGATTTAATACCGAAGCATTTTTATTTGATTAGTCTTAACGCGTTGAAAAAATACGAGTGTCATAAATTGTAGATAAAAGCTTTCAGTAACTCAGTAATGTGCGTACATTTGATATGGGAGGCGTTCATACCAACCCAATCACAATGACATTTAATCCGTAACACGATTAGAGGGCCCGCTGTGTTCATTTGGTTGCCACCGTGTGACATTAAACAGTCCGATTTATATCAGAAAATCGAGTCCTATCAAGCTTTTGCCATTGAAAAGTACATTCTGTAAAACAGATGAGCAGTCTGGTGGGCGTAGGTGTAGCAGAACACACTAAATAATGATTTAAAATGTTGTTTGCTCCATTTAATTCAATAATACTGGAAACAAAATCCACAAATAAATTCCATCATTACACACATCTGCGAAGGCTCGATTGTTGTGTTGTTATTATTGGAAACCTCAAGTTTCTCTTCTAATTCTGAAACTACTAAGCATCCCTCTAAGTATTTCGCTAAGCGGCCACACTTTCACACGCAAAATCGGTGCCTGTCTGAAACACCAACCCTCTGAGGTCTTCTTTCTACATCTCGTGAGTGAAAGCACGCGCAATCGGTTGGCGCATTTGCGTGCTAAATATGTGTGCACAGCGGCATGTAAAAGCCTTGTGTTGTGTGTAAGACGGCGCTCGGCCCTTTACACCTTTAGGCCATAACTAATCGAATGTACACCTCACCGCGTGTATGCACGTCGCGCAACAACGCAAATAGGCTAAATGTGTTTATCGAAGCAACGCAAAGCAGAACCTAGTGACTCGGGCGCAGGTTTAAATTCTTGATAATACCACCCAGACTCTTAGAATTTCAATTTAGCGCCAGCGCGCCCTCGAGTGTTTGAAGAACTATTAATTATGCTTTAATTCTAAAGGTTTTAATTAAACGGCAAATTACAAGTGTCGTAAGATTGATGAAAGCCGAGCGTACGCGAGAGATTAAGATTTATCATTCGGGATGCAGTTTTAAAAATGTTCAAGTGGATCAGCCGCTGAAATTATGAGTACGCCCTGTAGCAAAATGTAAATGTAGTAATTGTAAACTTTGCAGACTCATATGCGCATACAAGATCACTCCCCTAGAGCAGCGCAATTATTATATTCGCCTTCAGCTTTTATGCATCAGACGCGCTATGAATTTTGTGATAAATTGAATTATAACAAACATCTACGTCTGCCCATGTAGGCGCGCTTGCGGTGCAAATTAAGGCATTGAAATTACACTGCAATTTGACTCGAAAATGACGAAATTAAAACATTACCATGTTAGATGGCGCATATAAACTAAATAAACATTAATATGTATATAAGTTTGTTCTTTGTGAAAGTTTCGGTCCATGTTGAGGCGCCAGTTTGCCATTAGCCGATAATTAATGCCGTTTCGTAAACTTCAACTTCCATTATTGTTTGTACACACGCGGGGATAAATTTGCGCGTAGGATGTGCGCTCGCGTCGAGGCTGTTATCTTGTATTAGCGATATCGACACGAGTCGCTTGGCCAATCGTCGACATGCATAAATGATGTGAAAACATATCCGAAATGGGTACAACTCCGTTGGAACGTACAGAAATATTTGATTTACATTTCGTACGTGGGCCGAAAAACCAATAACAATATGGTTTGGGTTCAGTGCGCAGCACGAGCCGCAAAATGATGTTGAGCAAAAAGTGAAAACGCCACAATTTCCTTATTCGGACGAAAAAATAGAAAGCCTCCGAAAAGTACCAATTATAAGATATGGCACAAGGTATTTTTAATTTGAACTTTGCTAGAAGTATGATGCCATAAAACCAAAACACAAATAAATAATTACAAATACGAAATTGCAGCACATAAAAATAAATATTAAATATGTGAAAATCATCTACAATAACGTCGTTAAATTAAACATTTCCTCCACTTTAAGATCAAATTATCATGAAAGGCGGACTGAGGAATTCCACGATTGTTGTAAAGTTTTATTTCCAACTTTTATGTGCCGCTCGAAATTTCATATCAATCTTTTTCACTCGTGCATTCTTGCATTTCCTTCAGCGCCAACACTCGCGTTTTGCTTCGAAATCTTTAATCAAAATAGTTACTTTTATCGTTTTAATTTTTTATTACTCGAAAAATACGCGCACGAAAGTGGAACGAACTTCGATGCAGCTGAAGATAGCAGGAAATTTTCTCAATGATTGATTATTGAAATAACTTTCTTCAAAAAACGAAATATTTCAATGTTGCTGCAAGAGACTTGTGTGTTTTCAGATTAAAAATATTCTTTGAAGCAATCAAGATATGTGTAAAATGTAGGGCGGTCTGGAAATAAAATTTACAACGTCGCGCGTTGTGTGAACATTGTTCTCACTAATACTGTATTAATATGAATTAACCCCGGCGTTTGCGGCAGCTTTCCACCACGTATGCACGCGTCCGTTATTATGCTTTATATTTTTTGATTCTGCATTTTATCACAACGGTGATAAGTTTAATTTTATTCGTCCTCAGCGTTATTATAATAACGGCCGGCGAGCACGAGATTTAATGGGCCGAAACTGATTTTATCGGCGTCTCATATACCTAATGCGCGGCAAGTGTGCCTGGTACATAACGCAAAGCGTTGTTGAGCGAAAAATAAAGGACGAAACACAAGGGTGGCGCCGAGCCGTGCAGAAGCAAAACGGAACGCAAACCTTTGGGCACTTTTCAATAGAAAAACCTCGGCGAGGTCTAGCCGAGTAAATATTTTCCTTATTTCCCTATCACTGCCGACTCGGCAACGGGCTGATCGAAGGACTTGCCCGGAAAAGGGCCGACTTGACGAAAAAACACACATTGAATAAGCAAGCCATTAAATAACGTGTATGCGAGAAAAATGAAAACACAATAATAAAACGCAAATTGCCTCTTTTTATTGTTTTTGTTGAAATATAACGAAAATTTCAGAAGAAAAACTGTTTTAATTATGCTTTGCGTTTCCGCAGTTACGAAAATGTTAAAAGATTTGCCTATAAATTGCTGTTTATATTCACGATTTCGTATTGTAGTTTATTATGCACGAGACCAGCAAAATTTAATATATTTTCTGAAAACTTTTAGAGATAAACAAAAGCACTTACGGTTTTAAAAATTGATCGGAATAATCCACAAAATATTAAAAGTCTCAGGGTGCACTCGTCTGTCCTCGAAAGATTTATGTGAAACTCATGCGCCGAACTTATTATCCTTGGAGCACTTGTTCGAGCATGCGAGTCACGAAAATCACAAACATAAGTCTGAGTTTAAACAACACACAAATTTAATTTCGTTCTGCATGAGCCGGAGTAAATCAGGCGAAAATTGAACGCAAAGTCGTTGCTTATTATGATTTTGTTTTATGTAAAAATCGATGCAATAATCCTTGAACTTTTCTTTCGCGCGCGCTCAAAGGGTTGTAAACGAACAGCACTGCGTTGAATGTTTCCAAACACTTAATCAGCGATACTAATTTATGTTCAACATAAAGTTGCAACTAATCATAATCCTTGCGTTGTGCACTTTTGTTAAAACCCAATATTTTATTTTTCATAATCCAACACACAATGCGTGAGTGCCTCTCCAATGTAATCGATGTACAAATTCCGAATTTGCATTTGCTGACATTTATGGGGCAATATGCGTGTTTCCGTGTTTCTCGTTGTGCCGCAGTTTATACACTCACATTTAAAAGTAGAAAAACACAGACAAATTATACAAAAATGCTGATCCTCGCCGTCTAGCATTTTCCAGCACACAAAAAGTCAAGGGCTGAATAGTCACTCACGAAAGATTAACAAATGTTTCCAAATGCGTAGCTTAATAACTCAAAACGTGCGTTTTGAAACTCGCGAGGATTCACGCGGTGCGCATGGTAGTGCGTAGGACACACTCTCCACTCGACAAATTGCACGGTGGCGCTGAGGCACTAGCACACGAACGGCACGCGAAACGCGCTCCCACAACGCAGGACTACTACTGACGGCAGGTCGAGCGGCGCGACGCAGCGAGCCTATGCGGAGCGCGGCGAAGAGACAGCAGCAAGAGCACCGCACGGCACGAGAGCCGAGAACGCACTGAAGACTGGTTCTCTCGCCGACGTCCGCACCGACAGAGACGGACGAGCGCACGATCAATCACGCCGAACAGAGAGAGCCGATGCCGGCGTCCGCGAGCCGCCGTCGCGCGCCCGGTAATTATACAGAATCAGTCGGGCCAGCGCGCGCACCGCACGCACGTAACAATGCGATACAACACCGCCACACGCCGCCGCTGCTGCCGCCGCCGTGCGCGTTTATTTAGAATCGAGCCTCGCGAACGAGCGCTGTGCTACGCGTTGCGGCTTAGCTGCTTAGCGGCGAGATGAAGATGAGAATCAGATGAGATGACGACGACGACGACGAGGAAGCTGGGCACGCAGCGAGGAACGCTTCTTCTCTACGCCGCGGCAACCGCTTGCTTATGGCTTATGTTCGATTGCTCGCGTTTGCTACAGCGGCTACAACTGCACGCTGCCGTCGGGATCAAGTAGCTGAAAGACTTGGCGGGTTAATGCTTGACTCCGACTCGTGCTGCCGTGATTATCAGGCGTACGCGCGTCGAACTGAACTATACCAACATTGTGGAAGCTTTTGAGGATGCGCTTTCGAGAGGATATTGAAAATTTACAATGTTCATCATTACCAACACAAGCACCAAGGTTTAATACCAATACAACGAACAAAGGATTATTTATCATTATCAGCATACATTATTATTGCTATATTGTGTATCAGGGGTGGAAAATTGCAAGGAAGAACTATAATTATTATTCATTGAGTGTTTATTTGAATGATTAACATGCTGTCAACTGTCACATTGGCAAGATTGAGAAAAAATATTCCTGACAAAAGAAATATGCTAAGTTTACCTATCGATAATGGATAAAAAACTATTTACTTACCATTGTTTTCTATTGAACACTTTTTGCTTTTATGTCATATTGATTTTATTTGTACGCTTTAAATGTCAAAAGTATATTCCACTTTTCAACACCTTATATTATTTACACCACCACAAAATTAACCCCTCTGTTTAGTCGCTAATACAATGACAATGCTACCTTGGAAAATCAATATATTTTATATCATTACGGCGGCGTCGAGTGCTGCAAGGTGTTCGCCGGCTAGGTTGTAAAAATCTCCAAACGATATGAACATAATTACGTTATTAATTATTTCACCTCCACTTTGCTCATCTCGGACATAATGTAGTGCATTTGTAGCTTCCCGATAGTTTTAAGTAGGAACGAGTTGGAAAAGAAAAACGAGCGCAGGCACCATGCTCGCATTAATTAGCCTCATTATTCAGATCATTAATTTGGATAAAAGTGGTAAGATAAGGATGAAATTTACTCACAATGTTTGGTACGTGCTTACAAGGACACTGAGCATCCGAGAATTCAAGCATGCTAAATTTGTACCATGGGTACCTAATAAGTTACAATAAAATGATTGTGTCAAAAGTGTTGGAGAAGTTTTTCATGTTTTGTAATTGGCCTGTACGGTATATAATGAAGCCATAAGAAAGGTAATTATGTAAGTACACCCTATAAGTACACGACGGCCGAGCGATACTTAAAATACGACGGCGGACAACTTGTCTCGATAACGAGATTAATTTGAAGATTAAAAAGTTTGATACCGAATTATAATTAAAATTGAAATCGAAGTGCTAATTACGATTTGGGAGGAATAACGCGAGATGTTTAACGCAGCATTCCATCAGCGGATGATTGAAGAACGAGCAACGCAAACGTGAAACGTAAAAATGCATTAATGTAGTACTGGAGATATGAACGTGTGTAAATGTGAAACAATTAATTTCGTCTAATATCTCGTTATACACCTGTCAGCAGGAATAAATAGAACGAGAACGACGTCCTGCAGAAACAATTTGAAAACTATTTGTTGTTGTGGACATGCCGCTACATTGCTGAGAGCAAAAACAATCTAGTCATTAGATGTATTTTATAAACGTGCAAAGCAAAATGTTTTTGATTTGCTAATAAACTAATGAACTAAAGAGTAAGCAATCGCATGCCATATTTGGCGACGTTTACACAATATATGTGTGGTAATTGTATAATTCTTTGTGTTTAGCGCTTATAAAAAAATCAATAATCTATTATTTTCACGAGAAGTGGCTGCTTGAAAAGCCCATCGTAGCAATTTATTTCAGAAATTAACTTTACTTGAGTTGATAAGATTTTAGCACAGTTGTTTACTTGCGAGCTGCTCGACGATAGCGAAAAAAAAACTCATAATCTTTTTTGGCGTCGCTTCACGGCACCTTGTATAAAAACTTTATTAGGCTTATTAGCATCGCGTCTTTAATCTTTTGCCTTTGCTCTTTAGTACGATTAGTCTTTGGTATTAATTTAGTCTCTAGCTTTAAGACAAGCATTCTCGTTCACATTATGCTTGTGCAAGAGTCGAGAACTGGGCTTGAGTAGGCGCCAGAGTAAACCGTATAAAATCTATCTAGTAAATGACGATACTGAATTTAATTCAGTTTACGTAACGCAACAAATTGATAGATTTTCTTTGTGTTTGTTGTTATTGAATCTTGTTTCTGTTTTGACATCAATTTCCGTTCTATTTTCACCAATCATTTGCACTCGTTTCTCCAGAGAGTCTTGGTTTCTAATCCTGTCTCAATTATTTAAGTGATGATGTTGCCCGTTATTATGCATTTGGTAGTGCATGAGGCAGCCAATAATAACATTAACTTTTGGAACAAACTATCCCGACCAACAACAACCTGCAATATGAAAACTGTGCAACAACATACGTACGCCTGCCTCGGCTGGCCTTAATACGCATGTAACTCCACCACCGTGACTATTAAGTATGTAAGTACATAGATGCAAAGTTGTACATGCTTTTATAGCTCAGAACACGTATACTGTCTTACCACCAAGCATCGACCCAAGAACATTGTGCATTAATCTTGTATTACTAAGTTTTCACGTGAACATATGACAACTTTAAGCCCTTTTAATTTAAGTAGAAATGTAATGATTAGCTATCATACAAATAATTTTGCACAATGACATTAGATGCGGGTAGTGGACACTAGTTGTTTTTGTCGTTGAAGTTGCCTAGTATTCGAGGAAACCTGCTGTATGTTACATAACCTACAAATCATTTACTTAAGAGAAAATAATGCATTGTTAATCATCTTGATATCTTGTAATAAAAGAAAAGAGATTAAATTAAAACACAGCACTGTGCATATATCGGCAGTGATGTAAGTAAAGACTACTTAATTTAACATGTTTTAATTGGTCCACACAAGATGTCTCGAAGTCACGCTGATGAAGCTGCACAATACGGTGCGAGCAACTCGAGCGGAAAACTTGGATTATAAATAACGTGTAATTTATTATAGCTTATTGATTGGTTCGTTATTCATTCAATCGATGGGTTTGGGCTTGATACGCACGTTACACCACAGGATAATATGGAAATTTCTTGTTCCAGCGATGTCGCAGAGCGCGGGCATTAATCAAAGTGCAAATTTTAAGTCTCCATCGACTAGATACTCTGCATGACATAAAACTATCTTTCCGATGTTTAATAGTGGTATAGTTTAGTATATATTAACATGCCGATAATATGTCGTATGGTATATTTAGCGCGCTTTCAATTTTCTTCAAAATCCATTAAACATGTGGCAATTGCGTTTGAAGGCATACTTATCTGTTTCGCTTTGATCCAATACTCCAACGTATTGTTTACATTGTACATGGTTTTAATGCAATTGATCCAATTGATCAGCGAGCATCGACATGTGGCCTCGACTTGCATCTACATTTCAATTATCCAAATTCTACGAATTAAAATCAAACGAATGCAAATGCGGTTACAGAGTAATAATTGTTTCCAAACAAAGCGCACTCGTGTCTTTGAGTTAATAATAGCGCTTGCACACTCTCGGTGGCTCGGTTGATAACCGCCTAACCACCTAACCACCCCAGTCAATTGGTATTTTCACCACGTGATCAGACAGATCCAGAATACCACAATCCACAAAGACTCCCTTTTATAGTGGAGTCCAATGTGCAAAAGCACCGCAAGCGCACTTTTACACTTTTCGACGCTACCGATAAGTGGATAAATTGGATAATAATAGCGCCTAACTATTATAATCCGATCATTCATCATTCCCATGCATACGGCAATCCGTGTGGATGCTGCGCGCCCGGAATGTCCGAATCGTAATTACTCATATGTATGCAGTAATATTCATCCATTATGTAGAAGAGTCCGGCGCATTATGAGCGTGATTCATTTTACTTTGCTCAACCGATTTGGAACTATTCAACGCGACTATCCAAAGGCGGAGAGTGTTTTTTGATCGCACTGGGTTTCAGTCTCACTTTGAGTGTAAGTTTAGCAGAATGCGGCCAGTAACGCTCATATATCATGTCGGCTACATAGATATTACGGAAAAATCGTTCGATAATCAAATGTGTTAGGATTAGTTATAATAGCTGCATAGTTGTTCCAGCCGAGTAAATGTGTTGGATTTGATAGTTCATAAATCAAGAGAAAGTACTTGTGATTAAGAAGTTTAGACACTTTACAGTCTGAAAACAGTTGCATTATTCTATGAGTTTTTCATCAACAGTGGCATTTTACCCGAGAGCTACTATTAAAGATTTTGCAGCGTATTTGAAAAATTATTCAACGATTATATAGGATGGCTTATATTTTATTATCGCTTTCGGGTTTACTTCATGTTGCACTATGCTTCGCCGTGATTGTCCTCCCTACACTTACCTGTAATGTAATACGACAGTGGACGATCGTAAAACATAAAAAAAGGTGCAATCCACGGGTACTCCTGATATCGTGAAAGCGCCGACATGCATCAAGGAAGTTTACATATTTATGTGCAAGCGCCAAGCATCAGTAAATAACTTTATAATACGCTCATCTCTAACGACATTGCTTCATAGTATAACCATCCGTAAATGACTCGATGACTCGGGCGTTAACGTCAATGTTTATCAAAT